GAGGGTATGTTGTATATGTTGTGCAGCATAAGGCAGATGGCATAGGCAGTGTGTCCCGAACGGCAACTCCCAGGGTACTGTTACGTAATCACAACATCAAAAGATCTAAACGCTCTTGCATTCTCGAACAAAATTCCAACAACATTGCCTCTGTCATCGATCCGTCCGGACAGTATCCTAATCAAGACGAGTTTCGTGCTCGATCATTTCCATCCCATACATACATTCACTGTGGAAGGTGCAATACCCCTGCCCTATTGTGTCAAAGGCAAGTAATCACAATCCCTTTAGATCGCTGATGGTCGCTACACCACCGTTCACAAGACAAGACGATCATTTCTCAGTAGGTCCGGAGATTACCCATGAAACTAATGGAAGAGTTCCGGAAGAAGTTCTTCCGAGCACACATTCACAAATGCTCATTCCATCACAATCAAAAGATTGACTCGTCATGCATAGTTATTCATATCAGCGAAAGAAGAAAAGGAGGGAGGAAGAGACAGGCGAGAATATCAAGCCAGGAGGGAAGAGTTACACTGAGATTGGGAAAAAGAAGGCCTGGCTTTACCGTCGTGAGCTCACACCAAAGAATTGATTCGCAACAAGGGGGGGGGGGGGAGTACTCGCCACCAAATTCCGACATGGCCCCGGGCCAGTCATCCACTCAACTCAGATCACTCATCCTCATTCATGCACCAACAATCCCGGCCGTCGCGTGTCACCATCCACCACTGCGATCGTCACCCCGCCAACTTAGCCTCGACGTGGCTTGCCCGGATCCCACAGTCCGTCGTGGCGATCTAGCGCACAGCCAACCAGTCTACAGTCAGCCCGTCAGGACTTTCCAACTCGCACTATACACACATCATCTAGCCACTGCTTCCCGAAAGTTGGCTGACGAGTTGAGAGAGAGATTTGCGGATGCGCCGACGGAATTTATGGTTGCGAGAAGGTAGAGAGATGCGGGGAAAGATGAAGAGTGGGGTAAAGGAGGGTAAGGGAGGGCTTGAGAGTAATCGCTCGTTGAAAGTCATGTTGATCCCTCACCACTCGATCTCAGCCAACCAGAATCATCGCGCAGTAGGAATCTCCTCTTACACGGCGCTTTTCCTGGGCTAGATGGGAAGAGAGGATCGACTGGGTTTTTCGAGCGCGGGTCTTAGAGCGGGAAGAAAAGGAGTGCGAAGGATAGCGCGAAACGGGTCCCAGATTCAAATGATCAAGAAAGAGACAAAAGGCGCGCGCGGGGAAGGAGAGAGAAAAACAGTTACAGGGGGAGGGAGCGAGAAAGCATGTGCGCGCGAGATAAGGCGCTGAGAGGGGCACATGAAGGAAGGAGGAGGGAGCTTGTTTGCATGGCGCCGAACAACAAAAGAAGAATGGGCATCGAAACAGTTGCAGTTTTTCCCAATCCTACGCTAATTCAAAAATTGAAATCACCATATCCGCACAAAAAGTAGACGCGGGAAAAGAAAGAAAGTCCTACGCTTATCCATATTCCTACAAAATTCCAAGAGTCTTCCATGTCGAGCCGAGAACATTCGTGCGCGAAAGGTCGCGCCGCATTCCGTTGATTCCGGAATTCCTAATTGTCGAGCCAAATTCCGAGCGCGCTCACTAAGGCGCACGAAATTTCCATGCATTTTCAAATTAAAAGAAATGACAAAATTTCAAGAACTGCTATACAGATTTCAACGAGGTACCTTTAATCGAATCAAAAACAGAAGGGGGGGGGGGGGGGTTCTCGGAGACCGATCAAGACACATCTAGATGTAGAGAAAATACGGGGAGGGAAGGGGTCCGAAAGATGGCGCAGGTCCGGAAGGTGGTATGTCAGAAGCAGCCCCCGCATGTTCTCTCGTGCTGTGTCATCCCCCGTACGTCGTACGGGGGGTCCCTGTATGGCCCGTACGTACGGACGGCGGTCGTACGACGGTGATTTGGGGGCCAAAAAAAACCCAAAAAAAAAAAAAAAAAAAAATGGGGTGGAAGATCTTCAAAAGATCTACAACCCCATATGTTTTTAATTTTTTTTTTACCTTTGAAAGGATTTTAAAAAAATGAAAAACAAAAAAGACGAGAAAAGAAAAGAAAAG